TATATATATATATATATATATGAAAACTCTAATACTAAAGTATGAAGTTAACAACTTAAAACAATAATTTAATGATTTGTATATTAAGCTTTGAAATGAATTTCTAATGTTAAAAAGAATAATTGAAAGTTATCTTAATGACACATATTACAATTATTGTTGCTATCTTAACAATAAAGTAACAAGATATAAACACCATCTTTAACTATTTCAATCGCTAATAATTAGCTATGAGGAAAAAATAGTTATTTTATATATAAGTATTATAAAACTTAGTATTTTTATTTCATATTATATCTATCTCAATTATTTCATTTCTTTTCTGTTTCATCTTCATATTCTTTTGAATAGAGATATTTAAAAGAGTTAAACTGAACTGAACTAAATTACATGTTAATTAAATTGAATTATAAAATTAATTCATCTAAATTGAACTAAATTATAAAATAGTTTAAAAAAAACAAACTAAATTATCTTGTAATTCAGTGAACTATTATTATAATTTAAATTGAACTAAACTTTTTTTTTACTATAAATTTAACTAAACAACATTGTACAAAAATTATTTTTATTTTAAATTAATTCTCATTCTCAAACTTGCACAGATAAACCACAATGTATCTAACGCGGTTTAATTTTGGATAAACTAAAATCTTGAAAGTGATAAGTCAATCAAAATCCCTTACCAAAAATTAAAATAAAATAGTTTAAGCTTACATAAGTAGTAACTATGGAACCGCTAATCGATGTTTCATCTACTTGAATTATCCTTTTTACTTAATTAAATTATTTTTGTACTCTAAATCAAACTTTTTTCTTGTGATTTAAACTAAATAGAACTTATTTTTATACTAATTTATATATATTAAAATTAACATTAATATTAAGATTCATATACAATGTATGTAAAAAAATATATATCGAGTGAATCTGTATAAAGCCCAAAATATAAGGAAAAGAGTGAAAGGAAGAAAGGTAGATATAAAGAAATGCTCATGATAAACACACCTCCATTTTTATATAAACACACTCCTTTTTTTAAAAAAAATATATTAAATTCTTAAATTACCCTTAATATTTTTTGGAACTTATAATTTTCATATTTGCACCTCTCTTGTTATTTCTTTTCTCTGCACCTCCCTTCTTCTTTCTTTTCCGGGAACCTCCCTTTTTCTTTCTTTTCCACCCTTCTTCTTCTCTTCTTCATCACTTTCTTCTCTGATCTCTCTACCTCCTCTTCTATCCTTTTCAATTTTTGCAATATCTTCTTCCTTTTTTTTTGTTATAAGCTATATATAAGCTCGCGGTTTAGTGTCAAAGGAAAAGATGTGAGGCCATATGCGTTTTTCCTCCAAGCAATTCTCCTCACTATCTACACCTTATTCTATATTCTTTTGTTCTTATTATTTTTAGTTTATTATCCCTCATTGTTTCTCTGTTTTGTTAACATCTTTCTCTCATCTCTACATTTCTTTTTAGGATTCTTTCTAGGGTTTGTGTGTTTGAAATTGATTGATCAATTGTCTTTGTATTTTGAAATTGATCGATCATCTATCGTTATGTGAAGTTATGGTACGGACAAGAGGTGGTAGCGTTGCACGAAAGCGTCAACGACAAACAAAAGATAGGCAACATGTGAATGCTCAAGTACCTATAGTCAATGATCATGAGGAGCCTCAAGAGGTCATGTTAGATGGTGTTGTGAACCCTCAAGCACCGAGGTCCTTTCTAGGAGGCCATGAGGATTTTTCGGTCCTTAGGAATTTTTCAGACCATGTTGCAACCCGCTTATGGAGTGGCGAGGTAATTAATGTTGTTGGATTTTTTAAGTTTGATGTTTAATAAAGTTTTATAATGACAAGATCATAAAACATTAGGATCGTGGTGAGCTTAAGATTGTCAATCATGGAAGAAAAGTAAAAGGTTTTGTCATCATGCACCAC